GATGGACCGAACAGCCTCAGAGCCTTGGGGCCAGGTACATTAGCCTTAAAAGCCAAAAGAACCACTATAGTCTTGACAAGGAGGCAGGACAGACAGATGACAAAACTTATCCCAAATGCAGTCTGGCGGAGCATACATGTCCACACAGATGGCTGGCCAATGAACACCAAGGAACACAGGAAACATAATTTCAGGGACAGGAGAAGCAAGAAACTGATTTCTGAATTGTTTGCCTTGACCATGGGTGTGGTCCGGAAATGGTGAAAGATGACAGTGATGATAATTGTCAGAATGACACCCAGCAGAGTGAGGGCAGTTAAGATGATGCCCATGGTCTCACAGAAAGACAGGAATTCCTCAACACCAGCAACACATTTCAACTTGTATGTGTCTGACCAGTAGAACTCTGAGCATTTCATGCACTCAGTAGAACCTTTGGGGACAATAAAGCAAACATTTGCAAAGAACATTCACATTTACCATTGATTGCTTTATTGATTCATACTAGCATAAAAACACATGTATGAAAGAAGCAAAATAAGCATCCACTACCAGTCTGATTGCTGATCTCTCCCTCTGCACAAGGCAAACAATCAAAGCAGCAGCGAGGCTCTCCTGGACGTCTGGCCTGTCTGCTGCCAGGGGGACATGGAGCACTACACTGAGAAGTAGGCACCTAAACAATCATGAAAACAAGTAAATCAATTAAACAATATTTTCTATATGGGTGGGATGTTATGGTAAGGGAATGCAAAAATGGCACAAAGTGCATCTTCCCCACCTGTGAGTCTCCTCTTGTCCATATAATGCTGTTCTTCTTTATCTTCAGCTGCTGTTCCAGAAGAGTTGAACCATCATAATTTCCCACTTTGACCAATCTATAAACACCAAAATAAGTTTGTTGTGACACACCCTCTTGTCTAAACACTTGCAGTGGTTCAATGCAGAATGTAGGCATATAGTCATTCAATCCTTTCAGCCTTCTACGGTTTTAACTGGTTCACATGTTCCATCCATCCATCCATCCATCCATCCACCCATCCATCCATTATCTTCCGTTTGTTCCTAAGTCGAGTCACGTGGTCAGCAGCTTTAGCAGGGAGGCCAAGATATCTTTTTCCACAGCCACCTATTCCAGCTCTTCTGGGGGGGATATCTCTTGTAAATGAGTCCTCGAGGCTCAATGGGATTTACCTGTATAAATAAAGGTTGATTGATATCAAGGTGTTCCCAGGCCAACTGAAAGACATCGTCTCTCCAGCATGTCATGGATCATCAAAATAGTTATCCTCCCAGTCAGACATGCCCAAAGCACCTCCATAAGGAGGCAACCAGGGGACATCTTTAGCAGATGCCCAAACCACCTCAACCGACTCCTCTCGATGTGGAGGAGCAGCGGTTCTACTCCAAGTCTCTCCCAGATAACTGAATTTCTCACCTTATCTCTAAGAGAGAGTCCAGCTACCCTGCAGAGGAAACTCATTTCAACCACGTGTATCTGCAATATCATTCTTCCCGTCACTACCCAGAGCTCTTGACCATAGGTGAGGGTAGGAACGTAGACTGTCCAGTAAACAGAGAACTTTGCCTTACAGCTCAGCTCCCTCTTTCACATCTTCACATGTTCAGTCCAAAAAAAGACTAGGGGACCTTGCTGGCCACAAAAGGACAACACAATTTTCACAGTCAAAATACACTACAACCTTATTGAAACATGGTATCAGCTTGTTGTCTCAAGTGGGTAAGACAAGCAGGCCAAGTATGTCAATGTTTTGTCTTTATACTCCCCTGAATCACTAATACAAATGACCTCAATCATACACTGTGCTCCCTACACTATGACGACAAGAGTAGCAGTGCTTTGTATCTCTACAGCAATAGCAGAACTGGTCATTTCCCCTTGGCCCTGTTAAATGCACATACAGTGAGAATCCAAAATTATAAATGGTTTGTGTATTAGAAAGGATAAACAATCTTCTGCAAAGAAAGCAGCTTGAGCCAATCTCCCCCTATCATATGCCAAATTATCCTCACACCTCATAATTCCACTCCATTTACAATTTTATGCAGAGTCATAATTCGTAGCTGAACATAAAATAGTAGTACTCATTATATGAATATGCCTCCTGGTGTCATGAGATTATGTCATTTTTTGTTCATATAATGACAGTCTTATCTTGGAAAAGTAAACAGGTCTCACTTGTAAATGAGTCCTCAAGCTTCAATATGATTTATCTGTATTAATAAAGGTTGAATGAAAAATTAAGGAATGGACGCTTACATACAGTAGCTGCCCACTTCTCCACCTGGGTGTATCCCAGGTGTGATGGGTTAAATGCAGAGAACTAATTTTGCCATTGTATGGGAACATACAATGATGACAACACATAACACTTGCTTCCTTACTTACTGCCAGTATATGCCTCCTGGTGTCACTGGGTTACGTTATTCTTTTTCACAAAATGACAGCCCTATCTTAGAATTGTAAAGATAACAAAAAGAACATAACGTTTGCTTGTCCATATTGGTGTGGTCTGTCCTGGATTACCACACTATTCACAACAAGTGTGGGTAGCTTGACACACATTAGATATGACATGAGGCCTTGAAGCCTCAGGCAAAACTTCAGTGCAAGCCTACCAAACTGTCTTAAGTGCTGACAATAGTCAATATTTATCTATTTGGACTGACTGTCAAAAACTACTTGTTAACATTTGTGATGCCATCAGTTATGCCCTCTGGGAATTGTTGTAAACATGCTTACTTCATGCAAATTAAAATATTTACTCACCTACTGCCTGTGTATCAAATTATTGTGATCATTACCTCTGAGTGCCAAACATTATTTTCTTTAATCAGTGAGGGTTTATTGTTGCAAAAGAAATGTGATATTGACCTAATTTCCCCCTTGCTGTTTCTCTGCCAGTTAATGATGTCATAAAGAGGAGCTGGCTCTCCATTAGGGTCAAAATAGACTTTGTCTTCAAACTGGTTGGTGAAATTTACTGTCTTCAGATGATACAGCAACTATTTGAAAAGAGGACATACATTCTCACAGGTATTAAGCCAAATGTAAACAAACAAGAACATATTTTCAAATAATTTTGCATACCTGTTCATGCGTAAATAGTCTTTGTTTGTCACATGTTTCCCCATTGGGTCCCACTGAATCACAGTTCAGTAACGTGTGCAGAGCATGGGCAATGGCAAACACTGCTTTATACACATTATAAGAGATCCTGACCTGAGATACATCTGTATAACTGCTGGTAATGAGACTTAGATCTTCTGAACCTGTACAATAAAACGTTGTGTCACCCAGAGTAGTTGTCCCATTTTTTTTGAAAATGTCTTCATCAAACTTCAGTTTACAGCCGAACTGCTCCTCCCAGAACATGTTGATAAATTCCATTCCTGGTTTGGGAGATGGATGGACAGTCAGTAAAAACTCTTTTAAACCAGGTATCCTGACCGCAGGAATGGAGAAACCCAAAGTTCCCTCTAAAAGGTGGTGGAAGCGCAGTAAAGTCAGAAGGTTAGCAGTTACCCATGCTTCACTTGCTATCCACTGTATCCCTGTAATATTTTGTTGAGCAAGCTGAAAAGGTAGGTTTAAAGATATGTAAAAATTATTACACTCTTGTAAACTTCTTAAGTAACAATAGCTGACATGGGTATCTTAAAAGTTTCATATATGTATCTCAGCTTGTATGCATACTTCCAAAAACAGATCCAATAGTTGTCCCTCCGTAGCGAAAACCACAACAACCCTTGCAGTTGATTTCTGCAATATGTTTGCCATTTCATGTATCTCATTTGATGTGGGTGATGCTGGAATTGTGAGATGAAATGCAACACATCCACCTCGTGATCTAAATTGATTAGAAAATGATTGGATCCCATAGCGACTGTAGTCATCCTAGAAGCGAAAAAAATTGTAATTCATGTTCGGATCTTAAACTGACACAGTCTGGAAATGAAAAAAAAAGTTATTCTTACTGTGGTTCCTATTGTGCCCACCCAGAGCCAGCCAAAGAATGTGACCAGCTGGACCAGACCTTTGACTTGAAAGAGATCACTGGGCACAGTTCTCAAGAATGATGGGTATGTTAGTTTGTCACTGAGACAGGTACAAGTGGCAAAATAACTCACCTAGGATGAAACAGAGTAATTTTATAATCAAAACTATGCACAGTATGATCACAGTTTTAAAATAAATGAAATCATGGCATAAAACTAAACCTATAAACTGATTTAATAAAACAATATGTTTTCTGTTTTCTTTCTAATTCTCTTACCAGTGGGATGTTGAAAGAGCCAAGAGTTTGAGCTACAGCTCTTGTTGGAGAAGATGATGCCAGACCAATGATAGCAGGAACAGGTGAACCAGATAGACAAGTGGAAGAGTCTAACTTTGATTCTTC